TTGGTCTTAGGAACCAAAAAATTGGTGCAACTCCAAATAAAAGTAATAAATATATTCTCTTCACTTATCCTTACATCACTCGTAACTCTTTTATTTCCTATTTTCCTCACCATAACTGACCACTATAAACACATTAATTACCCAAACTATGTAAAAATCTCTATTATTTGTGCATTATCACTCTGCATAGTACCAACACTAATGTTTATCAACTCAAATTATGAACTCATTATCTCAAACTGACACTGAATAACTATCCAAACATTCACCTCCCTGGCCCCCTGGTAACCTGGATCCATCCAGAAACATAAATGTTACAGGATTAGAGCATTTGCATTTGCCTTCCCTCTTTCTGGAATATTTCCCCAGCTGTTCATGTGGCCTGCAAGATAACTACGTTATTTATTCAAATTTCACCTTCTCAGTGGGGCCTTTTAGGGTTTCCTCTGTATTTAAAATGCAAACACCACACACGGCTTATCCTTCCCTTCCTTGATGTCGTTTTTCTCCTTGTCATTTCACTTTCATGTATATGTGTGTGTAAATACGTGTGTACATATAGAGATAGAGAGATGGTTTGAAACCATGTGTGTGTGCATGTGCACAGTTATTATCTGGGTGTTTTCCTTACTAAAATGCCTGAACTTAAGCTACAAACCTTTATGAATGCGATTTTACCACGGTTTCCCTGCTAGCCCAACGTGTGTCTGCACACAGTAGGTACTCAATGATGCTGTCGGGCGGGTGAAAGAGCTACAACAGACATGAAGAAAACAGTGCCCTGGACGGGATCTTGAAATGGGTGTGGTAGGAGGGAGAGACAAGAGTTTGAGGCCCAGCGGTCACTAAGACCACAGTGTTAGAAACCCGTTGCTGCACCCGTTGCTGATCCTACAGTTATTGATGCTGTATAGGAAACAGATCTTAACCAGATGACCTTTTGCTTTGTGTTTTGGAAGTCAATGTTTCCTGCTGTAGTCTGGATCTTAAATGTCCCCCACAGGCCCATGTGTTGGAACCTGCTCCCTGACCCATGGCCCTAGTGGGAGGGAGGAAACTTCAAAAGGTAGAGCCTAACCAGTGAGGTCTTCTGGTCTCTACCTTTGAAGGGTATTATGGGACCCCAGGCTCTTCTTTCTTCCTTTCATGTGCCAGCCATGAAGTGAGTGGCTTTGCATGACCAAGTGCTTCTACCATGATGTGCCGCCATAGGCCCAAAGCAATGGGGCCGACTAATCATGGACATAAATCTCTAGAACTGAGAGCCAAAACAAACCTTTTCATTTTATAAGCTGATGATCTCAGGTATGTGTTACAGTACAGAAAGCTGACAAACTCACTTGCCTTCGGGAATACTAGTTTGTGTATATTAGAAAGTTTTTTTATGACTCTCGAAAGAAGTCAGGTTGAAAACGTAGTCCATCGTGAGTTAAGGAAAGAGATTCTGGGCTGCTGCTAGAGAACAAGGCTCTCCATGGGGATTGGTTAAAAAAAGAAAGAGAAGTAGTACCAGACATTGGAGAGCCCTATGCCAGAGGCTGCGTATAGCCCAAAAGAGATAAAACTAACCTAATTGATACAGCTCTAATTTGGTGAAGGTAAATCTGCAGACCTGGGGCTAAAGAGATTCAGTTAATGGAGTCACAAATGGTGAGAAAAGAACTAGTGTGGGGAGCAGCTCTCTGGCTGTCGGTGGAGCCAAAGAAGGCTTTCTACCAGGCAAAAGTAAGTGCTGTGCCTTCCTGCAGTCGCCATCACTGAGCTTGTTTTAGCTGATTCCAGCAAATAAGTGAGACTGTGGCCCAGAGGCATGTGGTCAGGCAGAGGGGAGCAGGCCTTGGAGAAGGGCGGGGCTCTCCATCTCTCAGGACCCAGAACCATAACTGGGGCCGGCAGGACTTTGAACAGTTCCCAGCAACTTGGTTCTATTCACTTTTTGGTGATTTGTTCTCTTTAACTCATACTTTCTTGCAGGCCTGCTCTGAGCCACACCCCCGCCCCACCTTTGAATGTAGGGAGAGTGGAAAGGGGTTGATTAAAATATACTAAATGTGCTGCCCTGTCAGGTGGAGGTGAGTGCTAGGGAGGAGCGTGTGGCAGGGCACGGAGACGGCAGTCATGGAGGTGAGAAACAGCAGGGGAAAAGACCAGAGAAGGAGTGGGCTCTGAGGTGTCCAGGCCCAGGAGACTGAAGGAGGAGCTCCCGACATCCTGGAGGAAGGGCCCAGGTCACTGGGGCTGCCAGATGAGCTTGGATGAGAGGGCGGAGAAGGGAGGAGGACAGGATGGGAGGAGGGTTTTGGGGATGCAGGGGCAGGAAGCAGGTGACTGGTGACAGGTCACAGAAGTAATGAAGGGAGAGGCGAAGGCTTTATCCAGAGCGGTGGTGGTGAGGCTGAGGACAGATTCTAAATCTCTGGACTCAGATTCTGAATACGGTGTCCCTCCTTATCTATAGTTTCACTTCACACACTTTCAGTTATCCATGCTCAACTGTGGCCCAAAAATATTAAATGAAAAAAATCCCAAAATGAACAATTCATAATTTTTAAAGTACATGCTATTCTGAGCACTATGATAAAATCTTGTTCCTCCCTGTTCCATCCCTCCTGAGGTGTGACTTATTTTTTTTGTCCACTGTTTCCACTCTCTATATGCTACTCACCCATTAGCTATCAGTAGCTGCTGTGATATCACAGTGCTTGTGTTTAAGTAACTCTTATTTTACTTAATAATGGCTTCAAGGCACAAGAAGAGTGGAGCTGGCAATTATGTAAGAGCATATATCCAAGGAGGGAGCACCTGACATATTGGAAGATGAAGGAGGTCACTGTGGAGGGAGTCGGGGTGGTAGGCTATGAGGGGAGAGAAGTGAGGAGGGAAGAGAGGTGAAGGAAAGCAGGTTGTGGGATGACAGTATATTGGTTGTCATACTTGTTCTGTTTTATTATTAGCTATTATTGCTAATATATCACCATGCCTGATTTATAAAACAAAGATCTTGGTAGGCATGTGTATATAGGATAAGACACAGGACATGTAGGGTTGGTTCTCTGTGGTTTCTGGCACTTGCTAGGGTTCTTCAAACATATGACCCACGTAGACTGAAGGAAGAGCAGACAGGGTTTGCAAGCAGCCTGCTGGTGTAGCGAGAGTCAGTGGTGCTTCTAGGGTTTCTTCCTGGGAAACTGGCAGAATGGAGCCGCCATTTGCTGAAATGGAGACACCTTGACGGGGAGAATTCAGGAAGGGCCTGATCCACAGCGCACTCTCACGCTCACCTCTTCCTCACGCCCTTCCCCCTTCAAGGAAACTGGGTTGATCCATAGAGTTCACAGAGCCCTTCTCCAGTCAGGCTCCCATCCTCCCTGTTTCTGGGAATCTGCAGAAGCTCAGCTACATCCTTGCAAGGTCCTTGTTGCACTATGTGCTGTAGGTGGCCCTCGAGAGGCACAGACCAGCCATTAGCAATCATGACTTAGATCCTACTAACTTAGAAGTCACAAAATGATGATACTCCCATTGTATTATTTAGTATTCTCTTGTGAACTGAAATATTTCCATAAAGAGAATACTTACATTACAGTTCATATAGGAGCCAGAGGCCAATTGCTTCATTCTTTGCCGGTATGGACCAATAGTCAAAATGATTGGTTAACTGGCACCTTACAATGTTAAACTTTTTTCTTACATTGTAATTAATTCCTGGTCTTAAATATGTTTGGTGTCTTTTAATCCATGGTAGGAAATTCTTATTGATGTCAGAATTGTCCCGTCCTTGGTTCTGGGCTTCTTGGAGCAGCCTGACAGCTTGCTTCAGATATGGTGGCACGACCTGTCCCCCTTTTTCAGCTCTGGACTGGGCCATTTCTCCAGAGATCCTAGTCTTCTCCAGCTGGAAATTGGTGTTTAGCAATGACAGTTTGGTGCTTGTTCTAGAGCTTTTCCAGGATGCATTTAGGACATATGTCTCCATTTTTAAAATACGATATTTTCTTAGGTTCACAGCCATCCTCCTAATTAAAACCCAGATGTATGGAGAGTTTTTATTTAACTTCACCTCATATCTGCTGCTGCTTTTCTCACTCTGAAATGTTCAGGGTCCATGATGCTGAGATCATTGCTCACTTGCTTGATTCCACACGTGCAGAGCCTTTTGGTGACAGATCAATGCAGTGTCTAGTTTTGCCTGAAAGGTCAGTGTGGAAAGAACATCTGTTGATAAGATGAAGACGCGTATTCTGATTAGAGCGAACAGCACGTAGGGAGACCCAGTGTCTTAGGAGGGCGGTGTAACTTAGTTATTTTCCGACACTTGAAGAAGCCTTTCCCTACTGATGTTTTACTGATGTGGTCATTTTTCTGCCCACAGAGGACAAAGTGTGGACCATCGTGTCTCACGACTTGCAGATGCAGACGACGGTGGTAGGCTACAACCCAGAAAAGTACTCGGTGACACAGCTCATCTACAGTGCCTCCATGGACCAGATCAGCGCCATCACCAGCAGCGCCGAGTACTGCGAACAGTACGTCTCCTACTTCTGCAAGATGTCCAGGCTGTTGAACACCCCAGGTAGGCCGAACCGAGGGTCGCTTTAATTACCGCCTCGACTGGTGTCTGGAGTGGCCTCGACAGTCCAACAGGTGGAGTGTAGTATCTTAGGGTCCAGCTTTCCACGTGCAGGTGGCTGTAAATAAGTAAAACATAATCGCTCAGATTGTTTTCTGAAAACGGAAGCTAAGAACGTAGGATTTTTAAAGAAATTTCATGTCTTTAGGTTTGTAGATTTGGGGAATTTTCTGTGTCTGTATGTAGGTGAGGCTGCGTCTAGTGCTTAATTATCTATCAGCTGTTGCTTTGGGCAAAAAGTTTGTCAGAGCTCCTTTTGAACTTTCAAGTTATTACCTTTGAGTTCTTCAGGTGTCTTTGGTGTAGAGATGAAAGTCCCCAGGGCCACCTGCAAGGGAACCACATATAGAACAGCATCAGTTTACAGCCCTTTGTAGTCTCCAGTCATTTAACAGTGTCTGACTGTCTCAACGAGTCGAGACTCGATTTTTTTCTTGATAGCCTACCTTGAGCCATGCAGTAGTGTGTGTGTACATGCAAACACCGTGCCTACATAAGACTGTTTTGGGTTGTAGGAAAAAAAAAAAAAAGGTCCCAAGGGATATAATGGAGACAGCCTACCTGCAAGAAGGGGTCATGTGCTTTGGAGGTCTTGGCACTAAACCCAAGATGTGAACAGAAAACCGATCCTTTGGCTTAGAACATAGCAGAGTGTAAATAAGCATGTGTTTTGAGTTAAAGAAGTCTGTCTTTATAATGTGCAACCTTCCCATTTTCCATGTATGTGACTTTAGTTAACTCTTTTCTAAAAAAAAAAAATTACTTAATTTATAGGCAAAAGTTGTATATATTTAGCATGTGCATGTTTTGAAATATGTATAGAGTGTGGAATGGATTAATCAAGCTAATTAGCGTATTGTTGCTTATCTTTTTTTGTGGCGAGAACACCTAAATTCTATTCTATTAGCATTTTTCAAGAGCTCAACATATTGCTATTACTTAGAGTCGTCGTGTGTACAATAGATCTCTTGATATTAAGCCTGTTTCCAGTGTCTTTTTCTGTCAAGCACAGAACATAATGCCTTCTACAGGGGAACTGTGAGAACTCAATGGGGTAATATATGAAGCATTTATGGGGTCTGAGGCATTTAAGGACAAAAGTAGCAAATGGTGTATTGATTCTTGAAAAATATTATGGAACTTTGGAAATGACATCGTGTGATGCTAGAGGTCAGCGGGCAATGTGATGCCCCGAAGTGGTGCTGAGTTTGGAGCCAATGTTGTTGGGAGTAGCTTACAGAAAAAGAGTTGGAACCACAATGGTGGGTGTCACATTGGGATACTGAATGCTTCCCACGTGAAAAGTCTGGTGTTGTAATTCAGACGGCATATCCTGTGGACCCTAAGAAAACCTCTAAAATATGAAGATCATTGATTCAGAAAATGCGCCCTCGTTTGGAGAAGAGACGGGTGTGGCTGGGCTGCTGAGGAAAGGCATCCTTAAAGAGGCAGAAGGCAATCATGGGTTGGCGGCAGAGCGTGAGCGAAAGTCTGGAAGGCAGCCTGAGTGATGTGAGTGAGCCTTCGGGTCCTGCTGAGAAGTTCAGCCCAAGAGAGTCCAGGAGGAAAGTGCAACAGGAAGCAAGGCCACAGTGGGAGTGGGCGTAGGTGTGGAGGGAAGTGTGTGCTGAGGGGTGAGTCCTGATCCTGGAGGCCGGGCGTCTCCGACCTTCACGGGCACGAGAACAACCTGCAGAGATCAGTGAAGCACAAAGTGCTGGGCCCCTTCCCTAAGGTTTGGACTGGGTGGAGCTGAGATGGGGCTTGAGAATTTGCATTAGTCATGGGTGCCCTGCACTCCCTGGTCTCCCCCAGGAGTCATATGTGGATGCCCAGACCCCCAGAAGGACTGTCTTGGGAGATAGGGCTCCTAGGAAGTAGTCAGGTTGATTGGGGTCCTAATGGTGGGGTCCTAATCCAATGGGATTGGTGGCCTTAAAAGAAGAATAGAGAGAGAATGCTCTCTCTGTTCTCCTTCTTTGCCCTGTAAGGACACAACAAGAAGGAGGCCTCCTGTAAGCCAGGATGGGAGCCGTCACCAGAAACTGAACCCACCGGCATCGTGATCGTACTCTCCTCTCCTCTGCAACTCCGAGAAAATAAGTTCTTGCCATTTAAGTCGCCCAGTGCATGGTATTTTGTAGGGCAGCCAGAGCAGACGAACATGATGACTTGCCCACAGACCGCTCTCTGAAAACTGCTGTGCTGGACGAGGGGGAAAAGTCCCCACAGCTCAGGCGCTGTGTCTGTGGACCTGTCTCAGCCACATCCCAATGGTGCCGGGGCAGGGAGGTGGGTTGCTCACAGGTCAGAGTGCTCAGAGAGCCTGGAAGTCATGGGACTCACTGGGGGAAGCTTCCAGGAGATCCGAGGCTGCTCCAAGAGGAGAACAGTGAGGCCAGGATGATGAGGGCAACTCCATCCCTGATGGTGCTTTGCCACACAGCGTGTCTTCTCTCTTGTGGTGTTTTGTCCAGTGACGGCCAGCTGCACCGACCCTCCCTCCCACAGTTCGCTCAAATTCACACCCATCCTCACTCAGAGGGGGCTGTCGGGTCAGGCTGCAGGAGCAGTGACATCGTGAGCATTCTCCTGCTTAGTTTGCTTGTATGAGCAGCATCCCAAGGACTAGTGGTCTTGGCAGACGGTAAGAAGGTGGCTTTTTACAGACAGCACTCACTTGTCCTCGGTGCCACTGGGCATGAGAGAAAGCAGTGTCCTTCAAGGTAATATGCATCTGGGTTTTCCAGTCCAGGATTGCTCTATACCTTTAAGTTGGGTAGGTTTTTGGAAACAAAACAGGAAATTCAGGGACCGTGTGTTTCAGGATCCCCTTTTCTTTAGTGGTGAAATACCTTTACTTCCTACAGCATTTTTATTGAATCCTGTTTCTCATGTGGAAAAGACTCAGCCAAGGTCTTTGGAAAACCAGCGGCCTGTAATAAACGGTGTCAGCTTGTCTTCACGCTGCTCGGTGGGTCTCCTCACTGAGGCGCTGTTTGCAGATCCAGTGGACTATTCTCTGTCCTGGGATGGGAGCAGGGGTGGGGCAAATTGCTGACCAGAAGAGAACTTGGGCCCCCAACCTTAACGTCCCGGGTTTCCTCCCAACTCCAATAAAACCCAAAAGCAAACTAAAGGGTGCAAAATTCCCCAACGGGTAAAAAACAAAAAAAGGCAACCAAAGAAAGTCAACCTCCAAGTTAAGCCCCAAGAAAACCCAACCGGAAGGGGGAAAACGCCGGAAGGGGGAACCCAACCGGAAGGGGGAAATGGCTGGAGGTGGAAAGGTGCTGACCTGCAGGGCTCCTGCTCTCCTGGGTCAGCTCCCTCTCTTCCCTGCTGATACCCAGACGGCCCTTGCCTCTCGCTTTCAACCACCACCAAGAAGCCTCACGCATCTGTGAAATGCAGGGCACACAGAGCTTCAGGGAAAACAGGGTAAACTTGTTTTAAAGCAATCTGCTGGTTACATTTTCTAACCTAAAATCTTTCATTCATAGGATATGTTTTTTAGTAAATGCTAGCTGATTTGAATAAAATTAATAATATATAGTTTCATACTATCTTGTCCAACCTTCCGGCAACCGCTTTTCATCAGGAATGTGCATCAGAATCTGCTCAGTTTTCTTGTTCACGTGCTGATTTCAGGGGGACTGGGCTGGGGCCCTGGAATGGTGCCTTTTAACACACATCTGTGGGTAATTTTGTGCGCCGTGATTGGAAAACAAAGCCTTTAGTTATGGCTTGAGGTTCTGTCTTGTTGGAGTTGAAGGTATTGTTGCTTCCTGCGGGAGAAGACTGAAGGGAATATCAGGGATTGTCTCACTGACTGAAGTAAATGGCATAATCACCTACTTCAGTTGAACATTGGTATTGATACTATTTTTAATTCGCTTCATAGAACAGTCTTTAAATATTGTCACGTGAATTCCAGCCTGCCCTTCAGACTCATTTTCCATACTTCCAATTTCTCCCTTCTGGGTAGCTCTGTATTAGAACCGCTAACCCAAGGAAAGAGAGAGGTTGACCCAGCCAGTCCTCTAGGTTACAGTTCTGGGTACAGATCAAAATAGGAAGGAAGTCAGTTTCATAAAAATCTTTAATTTGTTGTTTTAAGGAGCTAATGTTTGCTGAAATTGACTTTTTCTTCCTTCATGGTTACCATCCGATTTTAAATATCCATTTAGTCATTCTTAACTAAGACTGAATTATATTGGAACTTCTGTAGAAGTACTTGTGACATCTGTTTGAATACAAAGTATATTCATTATAGCCATTGCAATTAAAATGAATATCAAATGAGTTTGTAATGGCTGTGCACTTAAAATGTCATTCTTTATTTTAGGAGCCTCACCCTCCCTCCGTGGTTCCTGTGGGGCCCAACAGTTATGGTATTTATGAAAAGTACATATGAAAGACAGTTGATGTGCATGTGGACCTTATTTTTATCTTGATAAATGTCTGTATCATACCGTTAGGTAGCAAATGTAGAAATACTTATTATTGGTTTCTTAAAACTTTTACAAGGATATAGTATATGGCTTGTAATATTATCTCTATTATTATTACAAATTTTAAAAAGGGCAAAATAATGATTTTGCAATTTTGTCATCATATGTATTCTTGCCACGTAGCTATCAATTCACTTGTTCTTAATAAACTTTATAAAAAAGACACAGAAACGAAACAAACAGAAGTAATGTTTTTCCACATAGAATAGGCTATTTGGAATGAGGCATACCAATTTGGGAATGACCAGATTAATTATACACAAATAGAGAAAACCATCCAACATAATGTCAACATGCTTTATATCTATATCCTCAGAAGTGAAAATGAAATAAATTCTGAGCTTCAGAGAGGCAGAAATAACTAAACAATGAAACCTATGTCTAACAAATGCCTTAAAAACTTGAATTTGATCAATTGGATATAGATAAGTTGCTCTGGGCCCTGCTCCACTGGAATACTAGGCAACACTCCAAATGCTTTTAGATGACCAAAATATTTCTCCATATCTGGACAAGACTTATTAGCTTGCTTGTGTATCTTGGGATGCACTGTCGACACACATTTATTTTACAAATCATATTATACTTTCTAATTAAGAACTTTCACTGAAGTATTTATTCCCCACATATAGAAATATTTATTTAATTGTGGAGGTACCAAGCTGTTGTGTTTCCTATTTTCCTGACTATATTTAGTGCTGTTTTGTTGGTTTCCAGGGTTTCATTTCTTTTAATTTCTCAATGTAGTGTGGTTCTCATAAGTCAGATTTTTATTGCCTTTTTGGTTCAAAGAAGCCATATAAATTA